GAACAGGTGAAATAGAAACAGGTGAAGAGAAGAAGTGATAATTAAATTATTTGTAGAGAACGGGTGAAGGGAATTTTGTGAAGAGAACACTTAAGGAGAACACTGCACTGGCACAAACAAACGTCCCCTGCCATACAAACACACAAACGACGCTTGACGCACAAACAGACAAGCAGCTTGACTGTTTGTTCGAACTTTTACCATCTGAGAGCTGGCAAGAGTGTGCCACCCACGTTTGTACGGCAAAAACTGCATCGCTCTTTGGACAAAGTCACACCGATTTCACTGAGTGTATGAATAAATTGCTGGTTGATGCTGGTTGACTGTAAGACTTACTGAGTTGAAAGAAAAAAGTTATGTCATGATTTCAAACTTGTTACAAGGGCTGAAATTATGTATTAGTTGAAGCATGAAGAGAACAAGAGAAATGAGATTAATTTAGCGAAAAATTGAAATTAGCGATTAATTTAGAAGAATGTTGAAAGTACTAAAAGGTTATATTTATATTGAGACGAGTTGTATTTTAAGACGAGATGATATAGTACTAAAAATAATTTTCTAGTAATTTAAAAACATGTTGGGAGTAATACAATTATCTTTTAATTTCAAGACACGATGGAGAAGTAAAATTGTGTACCCCTCTACCGCCTGACACGAGTAACCAGAGCAATATTAGTAGTATATAAAATTACTTATATAATATAATAATATTTGTAATATTATGTTAGTAACTGGAGCAATATTGTCACGCGCCTACTTCCCAAAAAGGATACGTTCTAGTGAGCGCAAAATGACTTACACTGATGGTTGCCGCCACGTACAACTTTAAAATGTTCTCTGTTGCATACAAACGTCCTCAGGTTGCTACACTCAATAGTTTACGTATAATTTAAGTTGAAAGTTATGTTCCCGGAGAGTGACATACGGCGGTAGAGGGTTAAGACGACTTCGAAGTACTGAACGGATATATTGATTTTAAGACATAATGAAAGTAGTGACAAGATATATTGACTTAAAGACCAGTTACAAATACTGAAAACATGTATTGGTTTTGAGACGTGCTATAACTACTATAATATTCATTAATTTTATCACAATTTGGTAGTACTTAAATAATAATTTGAATTTAGAGCGTATTGGAAGAAATGTAGGGATATTTCGATTGTAAGCCGTGTTTAGAGCACTTAAATTATACTTTGATTTTATTACATGTTGAGAAAATATATATTGAAGTTGAATTATATGTTGATTGAAGTATATATTGATTTTCTCAAGTTGAGAAAATATATATTGAAACCTTGTGAGTGAAGAGTCAACAATGTAATTCCCAAAAAATAATTGCTCCAAAAATAACTACAGTTACTGTCCGTGAATATATTGTGTTTGATAAAAAAATTGCTTGTAAACTTTTTTGCAAAGTATACGATATATTATTACAGAAATATAAAATAATTATAAGCGGTAATCAATAAATGGTATTTTACTTCGTATGGCTTCTTAGGTCGTTTAATAACTCAATATCTGATATGTGAATATTTGAAATAAGTTAAGATTGGGCTATATTTAAATAGGTTACAAAACATAAATACTTACCCGAACTCAAGTACCGTACGTGGCTCACGGTACATGGTCTGTCTCTTATACACATCTAGATGTGTATAAGAGACAGNGATCGATAGCCACACAAATTATAAATATAGTTTTTTTATATGTTATACCTTACCAATTTAAGGAAAAAAATTCAATCTGTCATAAAATATAGTTTATTTTTGGTACAAATATGGTATCCAATATTGCGATCACTTCGTACGAGCGTTTTATTAATTAGTACGAAAATTAATAATAATTTTCAAGAATTAAATTTTTCTTATGAGAATTAATGCAAAACAAATTAATTAATTAAACATAAAATTAAACATAAAGTACCTACATCAAGCGCAGATTTGTAACTAATGATAGATGTATGTTAAAGAAATCAATTCATTGAGTATCTAATTAAATCAGCCGAAAAAATCTGGAAAAATTGCGACCTTGCGAATTTTCATAAAAATGCACATCATTCTCAGCTTTATGATTATTTTGTGTTACATATTTGTTCAGCATTGATTTTCATTACCTCTTTGAAGTAATGAAAATCATTAATAATAATGATTTATTGTTACCTCTTGCTTCTGTTGGTTTATCACCTCTTGTTAAAATGTTTATTATTACCTGTTGCTACAATTCAAACATTTTTCCGATAAGTAAAATACTTAACATATACATATTGCAAACTTAATTGGAGTGCTTTTCCATTATTGTGCCATTCTGTGCAAATTATTATTCCAATTTTATGAATATAATAATTTTTACTTGTAGTACATACATTTATTTCAACAATTAGTACAGACTACAATTTTAACTTTCAGAACAGACCACAATTTCAACAATCAAAACAGATCACAATTTCGGCAATCAGAATAGACCCTTATTTCACCAATCAGAACAGACCACAATTCCAAAAATCTGAACAGACCACAATTTTAATTTCTAGAACAGACCACAATTTCAACAATCAGAACAATCCACAATTCTAATTTTCAGAACAGACCACAATTTCAACAATCAGAACAGTCCACAATTTCAACAATCAGAACAGCCCACAATTTCAATTTTCAGAACAGTCCACAATTTCAACAATCAGAACATACCACAATTTCACCTATCATTACAGTCCACAATTTCATCAATCAGAACAGCCCATCATTTCATCAATCAGAACAGACCACAATTTCACCTATCATTACAGACCATAATTTTATCAATCAGAACAGCCCATAATTTCAATTTTCAGAACAGACCACAATTTCAACAATTAAAAACAGCCCACAATTCCAATTTTCAGAACAGACCACAATTTCAACAATCAAAACAGACCACAATTTCAACTATCAGAACAGTCCATAATTTCATCAATCAGAACGGCCCATAATTTAACCTATTTGAACAAACCATAATCCCCACCCTTGCCACGCTTCCTGGGGGCATACTTTCAAAAAAAGTTAAGAGATCGTAAGTTCATCAGCCAATCATTGACGGCCTTTCAAGCAAAATCCACCAATCATAGACAAGAAAATACTTACGTTAACTTGGCGAGTTTTGAAAGTATAGGCACTGGTCTCGACTCATCAGACTTCAGCATTACTATTTCAGCACTGCGCTGCGTGGCTGTACTCGAGTGAAGGTTGTCGGCTCAAACTAGCAGTTACTGCGCCTGAAACTAATCAGCGGTGATCGACCTATCGATAACTTCTAGAATATTGTTAATAAATGCTATTCAGGTTCTGATGAATAGACTTTGTAAACGCCAAGCCAGCCGATAGTTTCATTCATTGCATTCACCAGCCCATTGACTTCACCAGTCCATTGCATTCACCAGCCCATTGCATTCACCAGTCCATTGCATTCACAGCCCATTGCATTCACCAGTCCATTGCATTCACAGCCCATTGCATTCACCAGCCCATTGCATTCACCAGCCTATTGCATTCAACACGTGTATTAAGAATTAATGATCAACTTTAATTAATTTATTAAATAATAAATTTAATAAACTTAATTCAACACATTGAATTAAGTATCAACTTTAAATATCAATTTAATGAGGCTGCTATTAATTAATCATTGTTTTCTTAAAGTTTCAGGCTCAAAGTTTTAATAAGTTCGGTAACTTATGTTGCGCTGGTAAGCATAAACCCGATTTGAAAGTTTTAGAAATGTTCTCTCGAAGTTCAACTTAAGTTGCGCGAATCAACTTGACTCCGAATAATTAGAAATTAAAGTAATTATAGTATTAAATTATTAATTTTTTGTATTAAAGAATTACTGTTCATAGTTTCATGCCAATTGTGACATTTCTAAATAAAAGGGTCACGGTACGTAGGTCACGGCACATGGGTCACGGTACGGGGGTCACGGTACGTGGGTCACGGTACGTGGGTCACGGTACGTGGGTTGCGAGGTGACATTTAATCTGAAGTGTCCAGGCGACGATCGATAGCCACACAAATTATAAATATAGTTTTTTTATATGTTATACCTTACCAATTTAAGGAAAAAAATTCAATCTGTCATAAAATATAGTTTATTTTTGGTACAAATATGGTATCCAATATTGCGATCACTTCGTACGAGCGTTTTATTAATTAGTACGAAAATTAATGATAATTTTCGGGAATTAAATTTTTCTTACGAGAATTAATGCAAAACAAATTAATTAATTAAACATAAAATTAAACATAAAGTACCTACATCAAGCGCAGATTTGTAACTAATGATAGATGTATGTTAAAGAAATCAATTCCTTGAGTATCTAATTAAATTAGTCGAAAAAATCTGGAAAAATTGCAACCTTGCGAATTTTCATAAAAATGCACATCATTCTCAGCTTTAAAATTATTTTGTGTTACATATTTGTTCAGCATTGATTTTCATTACCTCTTTGAAGTAATGAAAATCATTAATAATAATGATTTATTGTTACCTCTTGCTTCTGTTGGTTTATCACCTCTTGTTAAAATGTTTATTATTACCTGTTGCTACAATTCAAACATTTTTCCGATAAGTAAAATACTTAAC